ATATATCAAAATATATATACTTTTAATGGTAAAAACAAACAGCAATACAGTTTATGTTTAATATAAAATAATAATCCAAAATTTAAACAACATCAGTTTTAGATCTGTATATTTTAATATGATTTAATTTAATAAATACTAATAATCCCTGTTTATTTAAATCTAAAATAAAATATTTACCCAAGTTTATTTTACACACACACATATATATATATATATATATATATATATATATATATATAAATATTTGAAATATTAGGGACATATATATATATATATATATATATATACATGTATATTAACTCCCTAATATTTCAATATATATATATATATATATATATATATATATATATATATATATATATATATATATATATATATATATATATATATATATATATATATATATATATATATATATATATATATATATATATATATATATATATATATACAAATAAAATCTAAGGCATTTTACGCAAAAATTCCAAATTAAAATTATTAACGAGGGCTTAAGCAGCAATTTCGCAGATAATCGTTATTCCGGCGTTGCTCTCGACTAATCGTACCGGATTAATGAGCATGGACAAGTCCACAGCTAACTATAAAAAATAAGCCCTGTTTAATCAGGCTAGGAAAACAGCCTTTTCCGATACCGGGGCATGTGCAAATATGTGCGCATGCATTCTAAAGGTATACAGGACATCTTTTTACTATAGCAGATTTAACTTTATTGAATTCAGCAATTTTATTCTTAATTATTGCTCGAACAATGACCAATGGATTAGCATTGTTACAGAGAATAGTAATAATAAACCAAGTTCATCATCCAACTTAATTTTAGAATAGATCATATGACACCTATGGGTAAGGGTTTTAAGGAAATTAATTTTACATTTCATGGGACAGAAAGAATCACGAAGATCTGTTAAACAAAACATCAAGAAAGGGAAGAGACGAATGAACTTTCTTTTCTTGTGTAAATTTTAAAGCTGGATGCATATTATTAAGAGACACGAGAAATTGGTCCACTTCAATCTCGTTATCGAAGACACAAAAGGTGTCATCAACGTGACGGAAAAAAACATCAGGTTTATTAGGTTTCAACAACATACCCTCTTCCTGGAACCCAACAAAGATATTTGCTAAAATGGGTCCCAAGGGGGAACCCATTGAACGACCATGAACTTGCCTCTATATGATGCCATAAAAAGTAAATTCGACTGATATCGTTGCAAATTTCATAAATTCGCTGAAAACATCCCCAGGAATAACACACACACACACACACACACACACACACACACACATATTTATATATATATATATATATATATATATATATATAATGTTGTAACCTAGAGAATTTTACTATATAGAATAATCACATGAAGCTTGGTAATGAACGATAATATTTAGGACAGGAACAACACTTACAAGATTCGCCAGCGGCGCGTAGAAGTAGTCAATTGCTAGGTGTCAAGTGAATTCCACAATGAATCTCTAACTGCCGACGAACATTTATGAAAATGGAAACATACCCATTATCGTTGGTAGGTATGCTAAATATATATATATATATATATATATATATATATATATATATATATATATATATATTTTCAAAAGTAATTAATCTAAAATAAGTTAAGAATTTTACGGATGTACTTGAAAAGATCATCAAGTATTACAAGAGAATTTTGATCTGTCCCTGTTGCTTTCAGGGAATGACAAAAGGAACCTTCGAGCAAATCTAGAAGCAAACGACACAGTTTTTCCAATGACCCAAGTAATGTGCCTAGAAATTTCATATCACCTTAGTAGAATCTATATGACATCTCAATACAAATTCATACTGTTGCTTTTTTCTTTCTTTTCTTCTAGAAGAAATACAATTTACATTAAAAATATTCTATAAAATTTTAAATAAATGGTAGATATAAAATTTATTACAATTATTGCAATTTTATTTGATATATCAATATTTTATATAATAAATTACCAACACCTTTCTGGACAATTTTGTCTACTTTAAATTATCATTCGTTCTCATTTATCTAAAATTCGTAAAAATTCAGGATTAGATCCTTTAGACTATTGTTTGATAATAACCTCATTCGTAATATTACACAAAGGCAGCATTACGGGAGCCGTTGTGGCAAAACATTCTATAATCTCTATATATAAAACAGATGATGTCTATCTGTCTGTTTGATGCCTTTCCCTCGAGATCCATCCAAACGACTTTGACCAAACTTGGAACAGGCATTGTACAATGTAAGGGATAGGTTTGATAATTTAAAAAGAAATCAATAATCGATAAATACAACGTTTTTCCTCCGATTTCGTTCTAAATCAGTATGTAGGTTACTTACATCATGACGAAATCAACAACACCTAATTTTTATTTATACACCACTGCGTTTAGTGAAAAACCTTGAAAAACGAAAAATCAATTTCAACACAAATCCCTTTCAACACAAATTTTAAACTAAAAACTGCCCCAATATTCAAGCAATCTAATACAAACTTCACTCAATTGTAGCAAAAAATGATTTGATTATTCAGCAGTCATTTGACTTGGTAATTGAGTCCACCGATGTAGTGAAAACCCGCGTAAATCTCGAAAAATAGCAATTTTCACTGGTTTCTTTCTTGTTTTTCATTGATCTTTCAACCAATTTTCATCAAACTGAACCATTGCTTTATAAATGTATCCTCTTTTACACCCCTGGTAGCACAAATTGAATTTCAAAAATTCCAAAACAATTGTGGCCTGAAGTGGGTGTTCCTGTTGCCTGTTTTACCCCTTCATGTCCTCGGTTAACTTTGATTGAATAAATACAGATTACTTCTGTTATTTCAGTAACTGCATTAATTCAAAATGTTTTGTTTTTTTAATGAAAGTATTTTAAATTAATTAAAGCAGATAGTCTCATCTGCTTACATCTACATATGATGCTGTTTTTCCTCCTTTCTAATTGAACGCTTTTTCTGATCGGCCTGCTGGCTATAGCTGCTAGTTTCCAATACGTGTGAATAGCTTCTGAAATTCTATCATATTTTTGTTAAATAATTTTCGCATTGAAGCTTATTATTTTATTCAAAGTTCTTAGAAACGCATTATAAATTAATTTAATTTTTGTGGGTTATTTCTTTCATTTAATTTGTATACTACTATCAACAATCCCAAGACTGTTATTCTACAATCGCTCGTGAGTAGAGTGAATCGCAAATAAATAAAAATAACCCTCTTGCGAAATTTCAACTAATTTCTCTTATACATGATAATTTTTCTGTGGTGGATTCCACCGGCTGGAATCATTCAAATTTAACTCGGTCGCTATATTCCTTACTCTAGCGTACGAAATAGGCAGGCCTTGAATGTTTCTCCAAACTAACACGTTTTTATTCCCGACACCACTTTTATTTTATTTTCTGATTTCCGAATATGTCCGCTTATCCTAAAAATATCAACCTCTTTTTTGTTTCGAATTTTGAATGATTTTTCAAAACTAACTTTTTATCCAAACAGACTTAAGAAAATTTATGGAAATACCGATAATTTATATATAGTGACCGCAAAAAAAAAGACGAAAAAAAAAAAGAAATTTTATACTGTTTATGTAATTGTTGGAATTTTGCGGTATATTATTCCAAACTTCTATCAACACAGTTTTTAAAGATCTCTCATCTCTCTTCTTGAAGTTGATGTAACAGTAAACAACACATGGTAAATTTTGTTCCATAAAGCTAAAATTTCCTGTTTTTTTTATGGAGGCAATAATTTTCGAATTTGTTACAAGTATTTGTGAACATAATCTTAATTTCCATTAATTTTTTTAATCTATTCCAAGCCCGTCAATTCGCATTTTTATAAGCGACGTTCATTATCTGTCGTACAATGATGACCTGGAAATCGCGTAAGCTGTAGCTGAATTGATTCTTTTTCTAAATTCTTTTTTGATATTATAAAAATTAGTATTCATGTAGCATTCACATTTTAGAAGGATATTTTTGGTTATTGTATTGCGTCACTATCTCGATGCGTTTAGCTTTAACTATACAGACATCTCATCTTTATATTAAAATGAGTGTCAGCTATGGCATCATCTCTTCTCGATGTTGTATTCGCATGTGCAAGTAAACTTGCTCGATTGTAGTCAAATCTTTTCATAATGCTACGCTTACCAGGCGCAGCAGCCATGATTACTTTCAATAAGAATATTAGTAGACGGGGTGGAAAGTTGAAAGGGTTTGTTGTGGAAAAAAAAAAACACGAAAATATCGCGTTGTTAGAATTAGAAAAAGTAAGACAAAAAAAATCGTAACCGCTTCTGGGATCAGTTAAAATTGTGACAATGTAATGAACAAAGATTTTCTTAAGAAAATGATTCCTGGTACGTCAATGGCAAACTAGAAAAAGAAAAAATTGCAAAAAAGTAAAGAAAATATATTGGCAAGAAAAGGAGATTATGTTTTCTGATAGAAGCGAACGAGAAACGTTGAAAAGAGTGATTTTCTTTAGAGGAAAAATATTAGTGCTTACGTTATCCTATATTATTTGGTGTGCAAGATTTTAATGGATGGTAAATGACTATGCAATCAAGGAATGTCAGGCGAGTATAAAAGAAAAGATCGAGACGAAGGTTAAAGAGACACAAAAAGATTGGATAAGAGAAAGTATATGATGAAAGAACATGCAAAATCTTTTTCAAAAAGAAATTGTGAACAAAATGGATGCCGAAGGAGAATTGGTATATCAGCAGAAAAAATGATAATCAAAAATTGAAAGGAAATTTGTTGAGTGTTGGAACAAGGTTACAATGTGTAATGGTTGTTTTCTTAGCGTAACTTAGATGTGGCACAAGGCCGAAGTATGGAGCACCCTGTGAGTAGTCCGCAGTGTGTAATAGAAGCATCAGAAAAAAACCCAGGAAAGAATAAAGTGTAAAGTGATGAATCAAAGAATACGAGGATTGTAACAGACCAAGAAGTAATCAATAAATATGTCCATACGGAAGGAGAAGAGGAAGAAGGTCTGAGAAAATACAGCAATGAACATTACAAATAAAAGATGGCGGAGGAAAAGGAAAAAAAAACAAGGTCATGAAGAAAAACAAAAGACAATAAATGAAATAGAAGAAGAAGAAGAAGAAGAAGAAGAAGAAGAAGAAGAAGAAGAAGAAGAAGAAGAAATATAGAAGATGAGGAGGATGACTGGAAGCAGAAGTAGGGCGAGAAGAAGATATAAAAAGGAGAATGACGGGGAGGCAGGAGGAGAAGAAGAAGAAAGATGGGGAGGCGGAGGGGAGGTAAGGCAGAGGAGAAGGAGAAGCAAAAGAAGTAAAAGGTCGAGAAGAAGAAGAAGAAGAAGAAGAAGAAGAAGAAGAAGAAGAAGAAGAATGCCTAGGGGAGGGGTGAGGGAGAAGAAAGAGGACGAGGAGAAGGACTAGAAGAACGTGAAGAAGAAATGAGTAGAAGAACGTTGAAAAGCAGGAATAAAATATGGAAGATGTAAAGGAAAGTCAAGAAATAGAAGAAAAGAAAAGACAGTAAGAATAAAAAAGAAGCAAGTGAAAATAGAGGAGAAAAAGAAGGCGAAAGAGAAAAGAAGAAGGAGAAAGAAAAGAAGAAGGAGAAAGAAAAGAAGAAGGAGAAAGAAAAGAAGAAGGAGAAAGAAAAAAAGAATAATAAGAATAACAACAACAACAGCCAGTTTTACGAGAGTTGCGCTTTTCTTCACTCTCTGGTGACATGGCTCTGATCAAAGTATAGTATCTCTTCTCTTGATCTCTAAACGTAATGGCAATATTACCTTTTTCCTTTTAAGTAAATATTCGGCATTTATTGACAGTGCAGCCAGTGCTAATTCATAATATCTTACTCTTAAAACAATTTATCACAAGAATAGGTTTCTGAATGCTTATCTGTTAAACTCTTTCCAGTTCGGATGTAGGTTTTTCCCCTAACATTTTGATCGAATAATGTAGAACGTCAACATCATGAATATATTAATTTTACATTGAGTTACATGCAGTTTCTGTTATTTAAGGGGATGATGCAGATCTAAGAGAATAACAAATGATAAATTTAATAAAAAAACAGACAAAGACGTCATAAAAAAAAAAAAAAAACTTTTAAAGGAATGGGAACAGAAGAAAATACAGAATGTTTGGCAAAAACAGAATGGAAAATAGAGAGTGTTATATAGAGAAGAAGAAGTAGAAGAAGAAGCATGGGGATGAGGATCAGAATAAGGCGAAGAAGGAGGAGGAGGGGAATGAAAAAAAGGAGGAGGAGTAGGAGGGGGAGAAGAAGATATCGTTGAAAAGCAGGAATATAATAGGGAGGATAAAAAGGAAAAACAAGGAAAGAAGAAGAGAAAGGCAGTAAGATTAAAAAAAGAAGCAAGTCGAAACGAAGAGGAAGAAGAAGGATGAAAAGAATAAGGGGAGGAGGAGGGAACAAAGAAAGAGAAGGTGGTGGTGGTGAAGAAGAAGAAGAAGAAGAAGAAGAAGAAGAAGAAGAAGAAGAGGAAGAAGAAGGAGGAAGAGGAGGAGAAAAGGAAGAAGTAAGAAGAGAAGACAATAAAAACGGGTGTGAAGAAGAAGATAATGATGAAGATGTGGTGGGGAGAAGGAGAAAATAAAGAATCAAAAAGAGAAGATAAAGACTGAGAAGAGGGAGAAAAAGTCATGGGTGGAGGATAGAATAATAATAATAATAATAATAATAATAATAATAATAATAATAATAATTGGGAAAACAAGTAAATCAAGTTGAAGGGAAAAATAAGATCTAAGATGAGCACGAAAATAAGTTCAAGAAGGGAAATATCTGGGAAAGAAAGAAGGTTAAAAATGAAGAGAAGCTAAAATGAATTATTTTCCAAAATCCGAACAAAATGAGTAAAAGAAACAAAAGAACACATGAAAGTGTCTGGAAAAGGACAGCCAAAAAGAGTGAAAGATTACAAAATAGAGAAGGAAAATTTATGGAGGCAAAAAAAAAAAAAAGAAACGTTAAAAGAGTGAAAGTAAAAGAAAAGCAAACAAGAAAAATAACAGAAGAAACTAATGCATAAATAGAGAATATTCCTCTCTGGGCCGTGTCCATTCAGGATGTAGGCGATCATGGTTCTCCAGAACTTCCTGCCCTTTGTGGGTTGTAGGAAGCCTTTTTGTTAAATGCCAAATTCGGAGTGTCAGGATTCAATACAATGACATAAAATATTGCTGTGGTACTGCTCGTAATTCGACCGTTTAGAATAATCTTACGACTTTCATTGAATAAAATCCAGTAAGAAAAGACAACAAATAAACATTAATTTAATATAACGACAAGAATTTGGTTGAATGTATTGAATGAGTAATGGCAATTTTTAGTTGTTAATAGAGTTTGTGGGTAGGATATAAATTGTATTGCGCACGTATACGAGAAAAGTGAAATGTCATTACATTTGTGTTTGTGTGAATGATTCAGTATGAGTATGCGTGCGTAGCAGTAATGTGGATAAAGGAGTTAGGTGATGCTGAGTCAAGCGTTTCTTTTGCGTGTGGACGTGGATGGGTTCTTGAATATCAGCAGCTGGAGTGGCGTGGACTTTGGTGGCATTTGTGAGTCTTTTTGTTGTGACCGGATTTCGTGATTTTTATGCCTTTTTCCCTAAAAATCGGTTTCAGAATTATATTATATTATTTATTCCTAATTGGCCCTAAAAAGTCATATACTATATCTACTACTACGTCCGCGTGATATTTTGACGGTATCTGCCTAAAAGACAAATAAAACAACCTTTCTGATTTGTATTTTATGGTTTTGTATTGTACGGTTTAATTGTGTTTATGTAATCACTTTATTGCGTGTTATTAGTTTATAAATATTTTGTGGGCGTGTTTTAATGTCTATGTAGATATTGTTGCACGAAAATGCTTCACATGATTGTGGACACGACAAAGTCTTATAAGTTTTGTCTTTTTGCTATGTTTTTAATCCTTGTTCTGACACTCCTACACACAAGAGTACAGGGTGGGCCATAAGCTTCCATACATAGGAAAATACATGGTGTGGGTCGTGATATGGGGGTGACAGAATTATTGATCCAATTTTTGTCAGTCGAAATCTTAACATAGAAAGGTATCTTAAAATATTGTGAGAGGAAATGCTCACATCCTTGCTAAAACCTCATTATGGTCACCAAGTGCGTTGGGTTTTGGATCAGAAGTTTCAGGATGCTTGGATTGGTCGGCGTGGTCCTGTGGAGTGGCCTCCAAGATACCCAGATCGCTTCCTATTGATTTCTATCTTTGAGGGCACTTGAAGGAAATGGTGTATCAGGTAAAGACATGAGGCTTAAATCATCCCAAGGAAAGTATCACCAACGCCATTACAAGCATAACCTTAACTGTGCTAATGCGTGTTCATCAACAGTGCGAAATACGTATTAATATGTGTTTTCGAAACAATGGTAATCATATATAGCAGAATATATAAATAAAAATGGTCGTCCAATATAAAATGTTTATTTTTTTCTGTGCATGAAAATTTATGGCTCACCGTATATAATATAAGAATCGTTAAGAATGAACATTTCTGAAAACAAATTACCAGAAGAAGAATATCTATGAGGAAAAGTTCTGTTAAAATGTTAATCAGGAAAGAAACTACAAGATTTGGTAAATCAAGAATTGCTCATAGAAAAAAATATTGAAAAGAATGAGAATAGAAAAGAATGTTCGTCAAAATGAAAATGTAGAAGATGGTAAGATGGCAGCCGTTGATGGAGAAGCTGAAAAGATTAAAAGAAAAAAAAATGGAAGGATGGAGGTTATGAGCGAAAATGTCTGAAAATAAGAGAAGTAAAAAATGATCAGGATAATCGATTGTTGAAAATGAGGCTAAAAGGGAAAGGTTAATGAAAAACTCATCGTGGAGACAACGAAACTGAGGAGACCGAAACAAAATAATCATAGATCAAAATGAATGGACGTTAATTGATATAAGGAAAGAAGAAAAGAAAGAAAGATAAGAAGAAGAAAGAGGAAGAAGAAGAAAATGAAGAAGACAAACAACAAATCACCATAACGCTGACCAAGGATGTAAAGGTAGCAAAGTGTTTCCAATAAAGAAGGAATTAAGGAAAAAAATAGGAAAAAAAGAAAAAGAAAGCAAGAAAAAAAAAAGAGAAAGTGAGGGAAGAAAAAAAAGACAAAAAATATGGAGAGAAAGAGACAACGAATGATAAAATAGAGAAAATAAAGAAAGGATGAAAGAATGAAATAGGAAATCGAAAACGAGAGGATAAAGAAAAATTAGATGATGATGAAGAAAGATGACGAGTGTACGCGCGGGAGAGAGAGAGAGAGAGTGGGAGGGGGAAGAAAAGAAGGATCAACTATGGCATGGGTGGAGGTGAAGGAATGAAAATAAAAAAAGGAGAAAGAAAAAACAACTGCGGCAGATCGCCTTATTAGTGAGTAAATAGATAAATGTGAAAAAAATAAGATATGACGAAAAAGAAAGAATGAATGTGAATGAGAAAGAGACCGGGAAGAAGAATAAAGAAAAAATACGAAAAAGATAGAAAGAAAAAAGAAAAAAAGATAATAAAGAAAGAAAAAAAATATTTGAGAGTTATATAATGAAGAAATAAAAAATAGGAAAGAAATAAAGAATGTACGAGAATGAAAACAGACAAGGGGAACAAAGAAATAAAAATAAGAAAGAAAGAAAGAAAGAAAGAAAGAAAGAAAGAAAGAAAGAATAGCGGGGAGATATCTAGAGAAGTAAGAAATAAAAATATGAAGGAAAGAAAGAAGAATGAATGAATTAATGAGAAGAAAGAGAAAATGAGAATGAAGAAATAAACGAAGTAGGAGGAGGAAGAAGAAAAAGAAACAACGGCAAATCGCTTTAGTTGTTAACAAATAAATAAACAATAAAGACGATGAAGAAAAAGAAAAGAAGGAATGAGAAGAAGAAATAGAAATAAGAAAGAAAGAAAATAAAAAAAAGAAAAAGTAGTTGATGGATATATAGTGAAGTAAGAAATAAAAATAGAAAGTTAGGAAAAAAAGAATGAGTGAGAAATAACTGAAAATGAGAACGAAGAAATAAAATAAGAAAAAACAAGAAATAATAATTGGAGAATAAATATATTAAATAATAGGGAAGCAAGAAAGAAAGGAAGACAGAAAGAAGAATGTAAGAAAGAATGAAAGACAAATGAAAGAAAGAAAGAAAGATGGAGAGAAGGAAATAAAGAAAAAAGAAAGAAAATAAATAAAGAAAGAAAGAAAGAAGGTAGGAAAGAAAGAATGAAAAAGGAAAAAGAAAGAAAGATGGAAAGAAGGAAAGAAAGAAAAAAGAAAGAAAAAAGAAAAAGAAAAAATGTGAGAAGGAAAGAAAGAAAGAGAAAGAATGAAAGAAAGAAGGAAAGAAGGAGAGAAGTAAAGAAGGAAAGAAAGAATGAAAGAAAGAAAGAAGGAACGAAATGCATGACAATGAAAAATAAAACCAAATGTAAAAGAAAAACAATGGACGAGAACGCAGATTAGAAAATAAATAAATGCAGTAAAGAAATACAAGAACAAAGGTGAATAAAAATGAAAGATTAAGACGAGAAACGTATAAATAAAGACATATGCAATTCTTTAAACATGGAAACATGTTGCTGAGAGTAGGGAGAGAATATGAGTAAGAAAGAAAGAATGACAGAAAAAAGAGTAACACACACACGCACACACACACACACACACACATATATATACATAGATATATTTTGCATATGTATGTATATTTACCACTAATATTATCTCTCTCTCTATCTATCTCTCTCTCTCTCTATATATATATATATATATATATATATATATATATATATATATATATATATATGTACAGCTGACGAAACAAAAAAGTAATAATAAAAATATAAAAAAAACAACAACGATAAAAAGTAAAAAAAAAAATTGACGAGAAAAATTCTCGAGGTAAAATAGCCGATAGTAAATAAGAGCTAACAAAGTCTTTACTTCCCCATATATATATATATATATATATATATATATATATATATATATATATATATAAAATATATACTGCCGGCACGTATTGATGGAAAATGGAAGCAAGTAGGAAGAAGAATAGACATTCGAATCTTGCTCATCGAATAACTGGCAGCCAATTTCACTTGTGGCAAAGTAGTGCAGAGAGAGAGATAAGATAAAATAAAAACAAAGACGTAGTGTCTTCTCATTTCACTTCTGCTCGGCAAAAAAAGATTCTCGAGGCAAGAAAAGAGGAAGATAACCAGAAAGGATATAAAAAAACCAAAATTGAAAAAGCCAACAAAGAAGTCGTTTAAAAACGAACTAAAACAAAGGGGACATAAAAAGAGGCATTTACTGGAAGAGAAGGAAAGGTAATAAAGAAACACATCTATGTAAAGATATCTGAGTAAAAAGAAACAATAAATAATAGACGATGAGAATAAACTATTTGAATAAGTGATTAGGCAATGCGATATGAACAAAAAAACGGTTTATTTCTGATAAAATTACAAAAATTAACGAAGTACAGGAAGTTAACTATTAGGAAAGTATTACAACAGATGTTGTAAAATATCCTAAAGAAAGCCGAAGGCGAATTGGCATAACGATAAATGCCTCCCTAATGCTAAATGGTGGCTGGCCTGTCATATTTGAGCATGCCTGTCTAATAGGTTGGGATGCCAATCCATCTTGCAGACGACTGTTCTGGCACATTTGTGTTTGTTCAATACCCAAAGAGACCACCTGTGGTTTATAATGCAGCTATACTTAGAGTACATTAGTTACAGTTTCTGTGATAGATTGCATTATCCCTCGTGATCAACAGTCTGAAAAATCCCAGTACGCTCAAACCTTCGGTCACGATGACTTGTGACTTCGTGCTCGTACAACCATCGATGGCTCCCAAATAGTTCCGTCCACCCAATCACACACACAAAGCCTGGTCCCATAAGTGTTAGGGTTTTCAAGCAATTTCCAAAGTTTCTTCTTGCTGGGATCGCCTCTGCTCGGTCGATAACTTTCACGAAGTTACCTTTCTGATATATCGACCATGATGAGATTCTGTTAAAGATAATGAAGTTGAAATCCAATTTATAAAAGAACTTTTTTATGGTTAGGTAACGAAGGTTAAATTATACTTTCAAACTATTATTTTTTAGTGGCAGTGTATTTTAGCTCAGAGCTTCTGAGGTTGATATTTAAGGTCAGATGGTAGACAAAATAGGGATGTCGATTTTGATTGCCTGAGTATGGGAATGTTAGAGTTAGAAAGTGTTTTCAGTGGGTTAAGTTTTTACACGTCATATACAGAAGACGTGGTTATTTCATGTCTGCGGGGAACTTGCTCCCCAGCGGGGGTGATAGAGCGACCCCACTGGTTAGTTAAAAATGTACACGTCGATGTGTTTAAGAAAATAGGTATGTTTAAATATCCTTTTTGTTGAAGTTCTCATTTTACCTCCGGGCATCCAGTGTTCACTCGGCCGAGAGAAGAAAAAAGATACAACGTTATGGAATCTATCCTATCAGCCAAGAGACCCCCAGAACGAGGTGGGTGGCTAGGAAACAATTCGAACTCGGGTTTCATGGTCGGAACAAGCTGAATAAAATATTAAAAAGCAAGAAAACAGATTACGGAGACGGTATATAATAACATTTATGTTATGTGAACGCTAAATGATGAAAAGGAGACTTGAGGTAACAGAGTTGGGGTTCTACAGAATAATATTTAGAGTACCATAGTCGGAGCATAGAGGGAATGAGGAAGTATTAAGGAAGATAGTAACAAATAGATACTTTTAATTTATAAGAAAATCATTTCACATTCAAGTAAGGCAACAAACCACTAAGACACAATAAGTTACCGAGTGTAAAAGAAAATGAAAAAAAAAAAAAAAACACATTATTACAGCAAAAGAGCAATAAAAGAAGAGATATCAGGAAGATAGTCATGCAATGTCAATCATTGTCAAGTGACGTTGTATTTAGAATTCTGAAGATTAAAGTTAGCTGGCAAATAAAAGGCCGGAAGAAAGGTCCTCAGGCGAGAGAAGAAACTGTTAGCATAGAACTTAGTGTTACATATCGCGAATTCACCTGTAAAATGATGAGACCTTGTCGCCAGTCTAGTACTGTGTTTAAATTCGTAAAATCTAGAGGAAAGTTCAACAGAACAATTAACATGAAAATCATTATAGATGTGGCACAGTGAAGCTACATTGTGCTGGCTCGGGTGGGGGGTAGAATTGACTGAAGCCGAGATACCAGGTTAAAACCTGTAATATTGCTAATTCTTATTTGGATTTTATCACGTATCTCTAAATATATAGCAAGATCACCGGACCATTTATGACATCAATATTCGAAGCATAGACGAATGGTAGACTTATAATTATATAAGATAGATTCTTGAGAGAAAAAATATCTGTCACGATATAGTAAACCAAATTTCATATTAGACAAACCAGTAATTGGTCCAAAATAATCTTTCTACCCCATGTCACAGTGAAAGTTAACTTGAGAAGGCGCGACGAGTTATGATCCGGATGGTGAGAATCAGCCATAGTGATAGAAGGCAGGAAAGGGTCTCTTAGGAGATTATTAGAAAGCCATTTTGTTTTGGATGCGTTAAAATTAACAAGCAAATCCCTACCCCAGTTAAACGCAGAGTTTAGTTAACTTTAGCGAAGCTGTGCCAAATAGACCTCATAGAACCGATCAGATGGGAACATTTCTGGAACGCAGTGAAGAAAGATGGATTCGAAAATTTTAACTTCTCGGGACATATAGAAGGGGGAGAAAAGAAACAGCATGTAATCAGTTTAACGAGCTTGTATAACTGTATGGTAGATCAGGGGGATAGTTGATAGTAAGAGGTAACACATTGCTTCGAGTTAAAAAAGTATAGGAAGTGTTGAGGGCCGAGACAGATGGAATTTCTGGGATAAATATTGAAGAAAGACGACAGAGACACTCACAGAACACAGTGAATGCATTAGATGCAATGGAAACATTGAGTAGCCAAACTATTTTGTTTGCCTTTGGCAGCACAAAGTGGGAGGCATTGTAAGAAGTAAAAAAAGAGAAATTTGTGGAGAGCCATAATCACCCAGGTGCAACACACTGCATAAAAGTAGACCTAGCCTCCGACAGCAACCAAACAATACATAGCCTAATATCCAAAATCTATTGTTTATTCTGTCAAGTTGGTTTAGACAAAAGGTAGTTATAGGACATGTTTTTTGTTTTGTTTTACGGCATATAAACCACAATGGGTTATTTAATGCTGACAAGATTTTTATTTCTGGTAATATTTTCTTTTTTCAAATATTTATTACTGATACTAATTTTTAAAAAAGTATTTCTGATATTAAAATCTATTTTTACACTTTCATACTGTTTTGAGATAGGTTGTGGGGTCAACTATTTGCCTATAGCTGGGACCCTAACAGATGTTATCAACCCGGATCAGGGTGTACCTGGGAACAGCAGCATTAAGAAAAAAGCTGATCAGAGGCGTTGCTGTTGGACGTAGTTTATCGTCTTATCCAGGACGCGGATGCAGTTTATTGTCATACCCAGCACGGAGTTATAGGATATGAAAATGGCTTTTAGAATTAACGTTAGTTAATGATTTGGGAACTTCTTTATGAAGTGTAGCTTGAATAATTGAAAGTTTCAGCTACCTGAACTTGATTTTACAATGATCAAAGGTTCATAATGGGTGAACTTATATTAATATTGATCAAAGTTTGAAAGTTGATTAACCTCTTTTATAAAAGGTTGTAAATGGACAACCTTGATTTTTACAATGCTTGAAGGAATTAGTGAACTTGAATTTAAAATGATAAAAGTTTTTATGAGGATTACTTCATTTTGTTTTTGCAATGTTTGGTGTTTTACTATGCATAGGTTTAATTTTAAAATAACTTGAGTTTTTTGGAGAGTAAAGTGAAACGAGAAAATTCTGTAATGATAGTAAATCATTCCCTTAAAATTGTTCATTGTTTATTTTTAAAAAAAATTCTCCACTTGTTTTGTAATTGATATAATCAAAATACTGACGTTCTACATTGCATCAAATAAAAGGTTAGGAATCAAATCCCAACCAATAGAGATAACAGTTTTTGATCTTGAGAAAACTATTTCGATGACAAATTGATTTTAATAGAAAGATTTCATAAATGTCAATCGAAGGTAGCGCTGGCTGATTGGGCAATGAATGCCTAATGTTTCCTTATAAGGAAGGAACTGATATTACGCTTACAATTACTAGTAAGCATTTAAGACTACGTTCTCGCTAAGTCAATTCATTTCTATTTTTTCCATCAGATCTGTTTAAATTGTTTGCAATATAGACAATTTTACTCTAACTCTTCATAACAACCATTTGGAGAGAACTGGATGTCATTTGAATCCCAGTTATTCCCGGCATCTTCTATGATTCTAATAATGGCTTGGAACATATTTGTGCGTCTTTTTTTGTTTCTTTGTACAGTAAAGTTCACCCTGTACAAGCTCCGTAGATGGTTACGTTAAGATGCAATTTGTGCAGTTAGGAGTAGATAGCAGTTAGCCCTACACTTGGTTAAGATTGTAGTGATCGGGGAAAAATCC